AAGAAGGGAGATCAGAAATCTCCTAATACAGTGTTTCCCTAACTAATGTGATAAAGAACTTTCTGAGGCATACATTAAAAACAGATTCCCAGGGCTGGCTCGTGGCTCACTCAGGAGAGTGTGGTGCTGATAACTCCAAGGCCATGGGTTCAGATCCCATATAAGGATGGCCGGTTAGCTCACTTGGGAGAGCCTGGCGCTGACAACACCAAGTCAAGGGTTAAGATCCCCTTACCCGTTATCTTTAAAAAAAAAAACAAAAACAAAAAAAAAACCAAGCAAAAAAACAGATTCCCAGGCTCCACTGCAGATCTACTGAATGATAATCTCCAGGAGAGAGGTTTTGTGTTTTTAAAAAGAGTCACTAAGAGGTGAGTCTAGTGATTAGCTAAGCTTGGAAAACACTGCTCTATACCTGCATGTCCAAGATGGCAGGCATGTAGTTATTTGCATTTATAATAATTAAAACAAAGTAAAAAAAATTGAGTTCTTCAGTCCCAATAGCTAAATTTCATGTGCTCAAATAGCCACATGTGGCTAGTGGCTAACATACTGGACAGGACAGATACAAAACATTTCCATCACTGCAGATAGGTCTATTGGACAATGTTGATTCTAGACCAACCCTTCGACTGTGATGAGAAAACTGAGGCACAGATCTTGTCCAAAATGTGCCATGGAGCTAGTTAGTGACAGAAGTGCAACTTTAACCTCATCCATCAGTGCCCCTCTTACTTTATCACTTCATCCTACCACATATTCAGGGTTTGTTCAAATGGGATTTATTTTCTTTATATCTCTTCTTGGGGGTTCCCACAAAGCAAGAGAAGAAATTCTAAATGTGTGGGAGAAAATAATCTTAAAAAAAAAAAATTTATCAAGTCATAATGAAATTTAAATCTGCTACTCTGCCATAAAAAAGAATGAAATTTTGCCATTTGCAGCAACATGGATGAACTTAGAGAAAATTAAGTGAAATAAGCCAGACACAGAAAGAGAAATACCATATGTCTTCACTCATAAGTGAGGAGCTAAAAAAAGTTAAAAATAAAAAAGAGAAAGAAAGTACAAAAAGCACAATAATTTGTTGAACTTTCAAAAGGAGAGAACAGAACTGAGGCCACCAGAGGTGGGAAATCAGAAGGAGGTAGATTAGTGAGAAACTGGTAAGGGGCCACAAAAAATGATTACTTTGTAAATGTTGAATGTACTCATCCTGATTTGAGCATCACATACTGCACACAGGTACTGACATGCAACGCTGTACCCGACAGATATGTTCAATTGTGTTTCAATAAAAAAAAGTTAAAAAAAATCAGTTTAAAAAGTAATTAAATCTGAATCAATGTGCAATCTTTGTATAAACTAAAGTTGTCTTGGATAGTTAAGAATACCCTGGTGTTAGCTTGTTTTAACTATTTCAAGTCCTTTCTCTTCTACTGTCCTCATGTTTTTCTCTATTTGAAATCCTGAGATTAATGATACATTAAATGGCTTACCTTGAAATTGTGTGAACAGTTAAATCTTATTTAGCAAAAAAATTTGTTTTTTGGCAGCTGGCCAGTATGAGGATCCAAACCCTTGACCTTGATGTTACAAGGGTTCTTTAAGTGATTATTTAGCAAAAATTTTACAAATGAAAAATTGAGAAACAAGAAGCAACTCAAAGAATAGTGACTTGCCTAATTTTAGAATGTGGCCACTTAGGCCACTGAGTACTCCTGGATTTTAGGAATTAAGTGGTTTAGTATTTATAACATTAATATGTTGTTTTCACTTCTAAGCTATAGTTTTACCTTCTTTTGAACATTATGTTAAATTTTAAAACAATTTAAAATAAACTATTTTAATTTCCCACATAACTGAATGATTAGAAAAATCATCTGACACGTAGGAAGGGTTAGATAATAAGGTCAATATATAACTAGACATAAAAAAATGTAGCAGTGTCTTCTTTAAAAATAAAACCAGTTGTTTGTGTCTATTATGTTTAGAATGTAAATGTCTCCAAAGTCAGCCAACTTAAGTCATGACAGTTCATTTTTAAAGTAAGCAGGAAAACAACTTGGAATTCCATATTAATTAAAACTTTAAAAACACAATTATACAGCTCTGGCAATTTTTTTCGTGACCTAGTATTCAATTCCATGTTAAATTCTAGTGACTAAATTTAGAGGAAAAATTATATGTCAAAGTTTATATAAAGTTAAAAACTGGATGGTTAAAAAACATGGCCCAGTAGAAGACACTACGAACAGATACTTATTTAAGACAGATTTTGACATAATTTGCAAGGCACCCACAAGCCTTGAGTATGGGGTTCTATATAAATAGAAGCTACTTATTATTCAGAGAAAGAGGTGGTGCAAAAAAAGAGCTATTTTCTTTCTAAACACTCTTTGGTGTTGAGCTAAACAAACGGAAAAATAAAACAATCTAAGCACACATGAGCAAAGCAACAGACTTCAAATCATAAGAGGGAGAGAGGAAAAAAAATGTCTGTGCTCTAATATTTTAAACAGGGGACTGGAAGCTTAAGGTGAGATTTATTTGCTGACTTTCAGACAAGATGCATCACTTCTACATTATAAGTTACATCTTGACTCCCACTTCACTGTATTAGGAAGAGGAAAACATGTGCTCCCAATATTCTTATGCCAAGGCAACTACTTTTGGAGGGAGCATAGCTCACCAAATGAAGGAGAACATTAGAAAAACAAGTGACAAGTTAAACCGAACTATCTCAACTACTAAGTGATAAATACTAACACATACTAAGGTAAGGAGCATTAAAAATACTGCACACTCTAAGCAAATATTAAAGTGTTGCAGAAATTTCAAACCTCATAAAAGACAAAATTGTTAAAAATAAATAAACAAATAAATAAAAGCATCGGGAGGAAGGGCCCCCTTGAAGGGAAGACCAGCCTGCAAGGAACACAGGTCATACGGGTGGGGTGGAAGAAGTTCTTCTGATAATCCCACTAAGAGTCAATGCTTCTAACAGTTTCAGTACCATCCCCAGGAGGAGGCAATTTGAGGTACTCTTAGGGAAAGTGATTTAGGCAACAAGCAAAAGTATTTGTGACAGAAGAACTATGGAGATGATGCTAAAATTTCCAACTTCAAAAACATTTACTAGTGAGAGAAAACAGCCACGAAATCCATAGATTGTAATACCCTAATTTGCTGTAGAAAAATATCAATAATCTTCAGACAGAATTGAAACTGACCCTGCAAAAGTTTTCAGCTGACCCCCTCTCTCAAACCTTCCTCTTCCTCCACTTCCCTGCTGTTCTTTCCTGGCACACAAAATATAGGCCAATGAGCGGTGGGTGGTTGAGGAGGATGTGAGAGAAAATTTGAGAAGTAAAAAAAGGAGCAACTTAACCAGGACATGAATGAGAAAGAAGGATCCAAGAAGGGTAGACAAACGACGAGAACTACTGAAAAACGGAACGGGCTTTCCTGGCCTGTAGTGAGTGAGCGCTCAGTGTTTGCAGGGTGTTTAAGCAGAGGCCAGACTACCTACCACTTGTCAGAGAGGCTGCAGAGGGGACGGCTGCTTTGGGTGACCTCTAATGTCTCTTCCGACTCTGAAACATTAGGATTCTTATTTCACAAAAGAGAAGACAGTGATCATAGAAGCCCACCTACTTGGAACCCTTTTAAATAAGCGGCCTTGGCGGCAGCTTCCCAAATACCACTCCCACCGCTCCCTCCCACACGTGCCCACCCCGCCCCCTTTCAATATTTCCACCTCCACGTGCAAAATGCCTCGCGGCACTGGCCCCAAGACAGATAGGCACCTTCCCCTGCAAAGCCCCCAAACTGTGCGGGATCTCCCGCGGAGAGAAGTGAGAACTTCACTCTCCCACCCTGGGCGGCTAAAAAAGGAAAAGTCTCAGATCCAGCCATCCCCTGCAAAGCCCCCAAACTGTGCGGGATCTCCCGCGGAGGGAAGTGAGAACTTCACTCTCCCACCCTGGGCGGCTAAAAAAGGAAAAGTCTCAGATCCAGCCTTTTCCTCCAAGCCAGAACGAGGGGCGGGGGGCGGGACGCAGAGAAAAACTTTCTTTTCAAATTTTTCTTCCAGAAAGTGGAGATAAGAACCCCAAGGAGCCCAGGGTTAAGGGAGTAGGGGGAGGGGAACCCCTGAATCGTTTAACGGCCGGTAGGGGGAGGGGGAATCCGGAGGTTGAGGGGGCGTGGGATAGAGAAGCAGGCCTGCGAGTGGGGGTCAGGGAGCTGCAGGGTTCCTTGGGTCGGGGAGCTGCAGGCGTCCCCCCCACCTGGCACACAAAGCGGCTGCCGCGCTCGGCTCTCACCAGATCCTTTGTGTTTTCCATCAGGGCCTCATGGGTAGGGGTTGTCCGTGCTCCCCGAGCCCGCGGCGCCCCCTCCCCGAGCTGGGGGCAGGCGCCTCTCCCCGGGACTGCGGCGACTACAGGGGGGCCCCGGCTGGGCCCAGACCGGCGGCAGCTGCGGCAGCCCCCGGATTTCCCCCCTTTAACTCGGGTGGCCCCAGGATATCAACAACATTAGCATAGCCCTCCCTCCCCAGCGCGCCTGCGCCGTGACCCGCGCCCCGATTGGCCCACTTCCCTACATACCCTCCTCTCTCTCTTCCAGCGTGGGACCCTCCGCAGGCTCCGTACGCCAAGGGCCGTACCAAGACGAAGGGTGGCAAAGGTAACTGGGGCTTGTGTGAAGTTGAGTGGTTAAAAGCAGGAGGAAGAGCAGAAGTTCCGGTCAGTCATCCCAGTTTATACTCCGGCTTTCTTGCACTCCTTTCAATATGTTGCAGCTACGAAGTCGTGTTGGAGAAATTTTCCACTCCAGTCACACCGCTTCCCCCTACACCCGGAAGATTGGTCCTCCCGGAGGAACGCCCACACGGGGAGGAGCCCGGGAGGGGAGTGGGAGTTACGTAGGGAGGGAGTGTTGGTCACGTGGCGAGAGGCTGCGCAGGCTCCTCCAGACCCCTCGGGGCCTCGGCGGCGGTGGAAAACGAAGCGCCCGGGCGCATGCGCAGTGAGGTTCCACGTGAGCGCCTGCGTTTCTTCCCAAACCCAACGATGCCGCCGGATCGAAGGAGCCGAGTGAAACTGGGCCGGAGAACCGGGGCGAGGCCGGACCGGAAGCCCCGAAGAAGGCCGGATCGGAGAGCCGGAGCGGGACCGGGCAGGCCGCCCCGAAAGGCTGCCCCTTCATCCCAGCGGAAACCGCCGCCCCGGCCGAGCGCAGCGGCCGCTGCGATCGCAGTCGCGGCGGCGGCGGAGGAGAGACGGCTCCGGCAGCAGCACCGCCTGACGCTGGAGGAGGACAAACCGGCCGTGGAGCGGTGCCTGGAGGAGCTGGTCTTCGGCGATGTCGAGGACGACGAGGACGCGCTGCTGCGGCGGCTGCAGGGCCGGCGGGTGAGCGAGGCCGCGGCGCG